TATCTTATAACTAGTATTACAAACAAACAAAAAATGATAAAATAATATTACGATTATAAATTGAAATTTAAACTATCCTATCTTTCAATTTAGATGAAACTGCACACAGTGTGTAAAATTTTATTGAAATCAGTCAAGTAGTTTAGGAGCCCATTGCAGACAAACAACGTGACACGTAATTTATATATATATTAAGATTAATAAAAATTCTAATTAATTTTTCTTTACTTTCTTAAATGTCGAAACATTATTTTAATTAAATGATTTTGTTAAATAATATTTATTATATTATTTTATATTCTATTATATTAATTACTAAATTATTCTATTTATAAATTAAAATTGTAGAGACAACATTTATTCATATATTTACACGTATATATATACATATACAATAATTAAAACTCTAAACAAAGATAATGAAGCAAACAGGTATATAACAAGATAACTGTAATGCATGCAACGTTATCAAAGTAATAACGAAAGAACAAACAAACGAACACGAACGAATGTAAATGAATGAATGAATGAATGAATGAAATGAATGAAATGAAAGAAATGAAAGAAATGAATGACTCAACCGAACGCACGAACGAACGATCTCATTTTTTTTGCGTGTGAACGTTGAAATCCACTCGGTCTAGTCGAAATCTTTTACTTTCACGAGGAACACCGATAATTCCAGGAAGTAGGTAGTTTTATCCAAACCTCCGAGCTATATTCTTTATTCTCTGATTCTTTTTTTTCTTTCTTTCTTTCTTTCTTTTTTTTATTTCTTCTTCTTCTTCTTCCTTGCTGCACTTTCACACGATTGTAAAAGAGGAAGCTGTTGTGTTGTTGGTTTCGTGATTTCTGGGATTACTCATCTATATATATATATGTATATCTTCTTTTTATATATCCAATCTTAATTAAAATTGTGTATATAAGGTTTATGTGTGTGCTAACAAATGTTTAATTAACAAATTGAGAACGTCGTTGTTAGATCAATATTTCATATTATTTAATGAATATTCATTTCACAACGTTCATTAATTAATATTCTCATAAATAATTTATCAATTCATTAGTAAAATACCTAATCCTAACCATATTGTAATTATATAATAATACAATGGTTTTATATTATTTATAACAAATTCTTAAAATTTCTCATAACAAATTATTTTACTATAATAATAATAATAATAATAATAATTTGTTATTTGAAATTTATATCAAATAATTATTATTATTCATAAAATATGAAAAAAGAAAAGAAATAAAATAATTCACAAATAAACTCATAATTCAATAATCAATAATAATAGTAATAATAATAATTAGTTAATTATAATAATAATTGAAGTAATAATTAGAGATAAATAATATATAATATAATTATTAATAATAAATCCTTAACAACATTTTTTATTATAAACTAGGGATGCCCCGCTACATGTTGCTGTAGCTCACAATCAGTCCGATACACACGTCTTTAAGTCAACGAATTACCTTATACCGCTATCTGTTAGAATCTTATCGAACTAACAAAGATATTCATGACTCTTTGTTAATGAACGAATAATTCGCAATAAAATAATATTGCGATTATAAATTGAAATTTAAACTATTCTATCTTTCAAGTTGAATGAAACTGCACACAGTGTGCAAAATTTTATTAAAATCGGCTCAGTAGTTTAGGAGTCCATTGCGGACAAACATCGTGACACGTTATTTATATATATATTAAGATTTTTAGTAATATATTAACTTAAGTAACTTTATCATATTATATTTTTGTAATTTTAATTATATAATCTATAATGAGAATTAGTAACTTAAAAATTATAGCAAACAATTATTAATATTCAAAAATTTTAAAATATAAAATAAATAAAATAATTCATAAATGAACAACTAAACACAAATAATATATAATAATACAGTTATTTATAATAAATATTTTTTATTATAAATTTTATTATAATAATAATAATAATAATAATAATAATTTCTAACCTTTAATTTAAATAAAACAATTATTAATATTCATAAATTCTGAAAAAAATAAATAAATAGAATAAAATAATTAAAAAAAAAAAATAAACTCACAATACAATAACAATAAAGATACAAATAATATTAAGCAAAAAAAGAAAAAAAGATATTGAAAAAATAAAAAAAAAAAAAATGCAAAACAGAAATTACAATAAAATTAAAGTAATAATTAATAACAAATAATAATATAATATAATATAATACTAGTTATAAACGGATAAAAGTAGCAAAGGCATCATAAGTAAGCATCATAGTGATTCCTTGTGAGAAAGGAAACTACTTTCACGGAGAGTTGGTGGCCTTTATCGATTTCAAGAGTACTACTACTACAACTATTACTACTACTACTACTTCTCATAAAAAAAAAAAGAAAAAGAAAAATATAAAAGAAAACGAAGAGACGAACCCCAACTTCTTACTTTTGCTTTGACTAAACCGATATCGTATTACAAAGGAGAAATGAAAGTCTCGAAAGTTGCTTCTGGACAATGAAAAAAAATATACGTAAAAAGGACACTATATATGCATGTGTATATGTGTGTGTGTGTGTGTGTGTTGTATTATTATTAATATATACAACAGAGTGTCCTTTTTCTTACAAAACATATACACAAATAAACACATACATATAAAAATGTTAAGGTGTGAATATACATGTAAGAGAAGAACGTAGTTTCCTTACACTTTTTTTTTTTTTTTGAGAAATCAGATATCATTTCTGTGGTTAATTAAAAAAAAAAAAAAAAAAAAACAGGAAGTTGATGACGATGATGATTATGATGATCTGTATCTGTGTATAATAATAATAATAATAATAATGATAATAATATTTTTTTCTATTTTTAAATTACAAAAAACTTACCTTAACCTCATGGTAACGTTCTTCCAGGTAATAAGCAATACCCTTTGCTTCCTCGTATTTTGCAGCAAGGGCCACGTACTTGTCGTAATGTCGTTTAAAAAGTACGAACCTGTAAAAATATAAATGACAAAAATATAAATAAAGGATATAAAATATATTTAGTAAGGTTTGTAAACAAAACAATTCAAATTTCGCGCCATTAAATGTAACAGAAGACGTTAATTGTGTGGCGGGGTATTTAAAATTTTTTTCGAATTTTATGATAAGAAAAATATCTACATTATCGACGTCATTGGTTTTTTTTTTAAATAATAATTAAATATGGATTAAATAAGCATGAAAAAGGTAAACAAAAGCTTACGTTTTTGAACGATCCATTTTATTTCGAGTAATCGATTACGATTTTTCTCGTTTCTTCGATACGATGTGATGTCCACTTTCGATTTATTCACTCAACATTAATGTTGATAGATACAATGACGAGTTTTGAAGTATCACTCAAAGATTTATAATTAAAGATTGAAGTAACACGAAAAATAAGTTTATTATGGAGAGAAAGAAAAAAGAAAAAAGAAAAAGAAAATTACAAAAGTTTGATAGAAATGATGGAAGATTTAATGAGAATAAAAATGGCGAACGGAAGATTCTTTAAAGAGTTCAAGTATAATGTAAGTAATAGCAAAAAAGAAAAAAAAAGGAATTTTCAAACTTTAATTAGTTTTCTTGTAACTTATTTGAAATGTGTTCTTTTTTTGATTACAAATAACTACGTTAACAAAAATTAATGAGTATTCGGATCTCTAGCATTTGAATACGCTATCTGGTGGCTAAATTCACAATTACAGTAGATAGGTCGAATTGTTACGCCACGCCCCTGCCAAAGATCTCAAAAATGGAGAATAATTTTGTGGCTAAAATTGTGTTTACAGTATTATTCATGGCCACGTGCCACTTTATATCCATTTACATCGGCACGTTTTTCTATTTATTTGCCCTTACTTTTCTATTATTTCCTATCTTTAACACTTATTGTTTATTATTTTAACTATATTTTTTTTTAGAAACATTTCGTTAACATTTAATTATCTATTATTCATTTAAACCAGTTACTTACAACCAAATTGGGATCTCTAGCACTTGAATACGCTATCTGGTGGCTAAATTCAAAATTAGAGTAGATAGGTCGANCACTTGAATACGCTATCTGGTGGCTAAATTCAAAATTAGAGTAGATAGGTCGAATTGTTACGCCACGTGGGATTTCTAGCACTTGAATACGCTATCTAGTGGCTAAATTCGAAATTAGAGTAGATAGGTCGAATTGCAACGCCACGCCCCTTGCCAGAGATACCAATAAGTAAATGTTATATTGATGTCTACAGAAAGATGATCAAATTATGACTGATAGAATAAAAGAATATATTCTAGAAAATAATATTTAATATATTTAAAATATTATTAATAATATAAAATGATAAATGAGTATAAGTAAATGAGTATGAGTTATTATTGATTTAGATATCTAAAGAAGAATAATCTAACATAAGTATGACCGATAATAGAAGAGAATATATTCTAGAAAATATTAATGTTTAATATATTTAAAATATTATTTAATAATAATTTTAAAATATTATTAATATATATATGTTGTGTATAAAAATATAAATGAATATGAGTAACCATCTTATATTGATGTTTAAACAAAGATGATCTAAGTATGATCTATAGTAGAA